AAAAAAAAAGAAAAAAAAAGAAAACTATGATTTCTTATCTGATTTTCCCTGTGTGTGGTAGATGGAGAAAAGACAGCAATGAGCCACCAGTGGTTAGAAGTCAAATGAAAAAGAAAATGAACTATGGTCCCCCATTTTACATACAACGACACAAAATGAGCAAAAATTGAGGGGGGGGGAGGTCCTTATGTTTGTACTAAAACCATATCTTTAGAAAATGAGGAGAATAAGAATAAGTAAGCAAATGATTGTGATGATGATATTGACAATGATGATGATGGTGGTGGAGGTGGTGATGGTGATGATAGATTTGGAAAGGAATCTTGGTCCAATGTCTTGGTGGGTATCTGTCCTTTCCCACCAGTCTGTCACTGGCATTTTCAAAGGCGGGTGCCAACTTAGAGTTGGGGCATTGGGGTCTCAATCCCTAATGGCATCTGAAGAGGAGGGACCTGCACTGTTTACTTATAAGAAGTCATTGTGTTTGGACAACCACTATGTTCATAGAAAATGAGAAGAGTGATCATAAGTAAGCATGTTGTGATGATGATGTTCATGGTTGCAATGAAGATGATGGACTGAGACAGGAGCCATGGTCTAATGGAATGAAGGCTCCTCATACAGACACACCATCACCTTGGCTCCTCCAGTGAGGAATATCCATTCTTCCCAGTGATTGTGGAGAGATTCCATAAATGGAAACACAATAAATTATGCAACTTGGGTGATTCATGTTGAGACCATGTCGTTACTCAACACAAAGGTGTCCAAGTGTGAACACCTTGCACCTGGGAAGAGGTTACCTTCTACAACAAAGACCCTGTGAAAATGTGCCTGTAGGAAACAGGGTTCCCTTCCCACCAGTTTACAGTGACAGGTTCCTCATTTCTCTTGATCCCTGCCTGTATGACCTTTAACGCTGCTACTTCAATCCACTCCTGCTCATCATTATTCAGGTGTTTCCTAGGATGTTGTAAGCTGTGTCTATGATGCTCTGCACTTCCTTCTGGGCCTTCCCTGGAGGAAGCTTTAAACACACATGTCCAGTTACTCTCTGTCCCTGAACATCAGACACGTTTCTGTCAGGTGACTCAAATCAAGTCCAGTTTCCTACCCTCACCCAGTTCCACAGTCATGTCCACATTGATGGGTAGTTTCCCAGCAACGCTCCCCTCTGGTACCAGAACCTGCTCCAATCCCTGTGGCTGCTGTAGCCAATCCACATGGACAGTGGAGTCCCAGCATCTTCTGGGAAATTATTCGTAAAATCACCCAAAACATGTGCCAATAAATAAAATACTGATGTATTATTGAACTTTAATAAAAGCAAAACATTTGTCCCACCAAGAATTTCATCAAGGATATTGACAAGTTTAGCATGAGATTATATATTGGAATCATGTGGCTGATGGGAGAATGTGTGTATTACATATTAAGGATGTTGTATGTTATGGGAGAGACCCACCAGCATCTGAACACTGTGACCTCCCAGGGGAAGAGCAGAGGGAGCCTGAGAGGGAGGGAATCCTCTCAGGGTTGAAGTTCCCTTTCCTGTGAGAAATTCTATGGCGGAATTCTCCTCAGTCCCCTCCCTCTGAACCCCAACATCACTGATGACACTCGACTGAGAAAACAGGTCAATCTCCTTCCATCATTTCAACATATGAATGATTCAATGTAGTGCACATACATATAATTTTATTTCATGTCTTCTCTCCATGACTATTTCTGATGGAACTATGTGGTGTCTCTGAAGTAGGCCATGCACTGTCAGAAGGGAAGAGTGTGCATAGGAAACTGCAGACACACTCATCAGATTTCCTGCTTCAAGAATCATAGGTATCTCACCTTTCTGTGCTAGGAAGGTAGTTTCTCATGTCAAAGGAACAATGTAAACTAAGATGTAAGATGCTGAGAGTGGCTGTCATTTATTTTGATATTTTGAACAAGGGTAGAATTTATATAAAATTACAGACAACAAATTTGGAAATGGTGGATACACCAGGGTGTTAAGATTCAGAAACTGTCCTAACAACTGCTAATCTCATTAAATCTGAAAGATGCCTGAGAAGTGAAAAGTGTAACCTGCTCATCTATCCACCATTTCTCCTCATGCTCAGAAAGTTTAGGCTGAGCTTTGACAGGAATCCAGTGAGTCTCATGACCCATGTGGTTCCCTGAGCCTGAATACCTGGTGAGTCAGGTAAAATGGAACAGAGGTCCACACACAGGCCTCAGAATGACCAGGGAAGCCTGACCTCAATTCCTCTATTTATAGGAAAGGCTGTCCCACATGCAAATTTCTGTTCAACTTCTAGGGTACATCCACCCCTGGGCTATACAGGCTCACAGCTCTCTGCTCACTCAGCGCCCAGGTCTCTGGGAAGGCAGAGCTGTGGTCTAGAAGAACATGAAAATGCTGGATCTTCTCCTGTGTCTGCTGACAACCGCCCAGGGTGAGAGTCTCAGGGATCAGAGTGGAGTCATGCGATGGCTATGACTGCAGGTGACTGACAGGACTGATGCTCCTTTTCCTCAGGTGGCCTGTCCCAGGTGCAGCTGCAGGAGTCAGGCCCAGGACTGGTGAAGCCCTCGCAGACCCTCTCTCTCACCTGCACTGTGTCTGGGGGCTCAGTCACCAGCAGTTACTGGTGGAGCTGGATCCACCAGCCCCCAGAGAAAGGGTTGCAGTAGATAGGGGAATGGTCAGAAGGCATAAGGTACAACCCAGACTTCATGCGTGGCATGTCCATCACTGCTGACACGTCCAGGAACCAGTTCTCCCTGCAGCTGAGCTCCGTGACCACTGAGGACACGGCCATGTATTACTGTGCAAGAGAAACAGTGAAGGAAGTCAGTGTGAGCCCAGACACAAACCTCCCTGAGGAGGCAGCAGGGCTGGGCTGCAGAGGGCGTCCTGGACACCAGAGGGCGCTCATGGCCCACAGCACAAAGAGCAGCCCCAAGAGCAGGGGCAGAGGGAGGGAGAGGGAAGGGAATTCCTATTGGGCTCAGGGATTTCCTGTCAAGCTCTCAGCTGCCTCCAAAGAAGGCTCTTGCTCTTTCTCTGAGGCTCTCATTTCCTGCTTTCTCACTGCAGACCCCAGAGGAAGAGGAAACACTGCTGCTGGCAGATGACATGTGGGCAGTGATGGAGACTCTCCTCACCATGTTCCTGTATTTCCTGCTTTTCTTTCTCAACAGAAACCATCCGCCTGTAGTTGGAAACTTTCCCACCAAGAGAGACCCCAGCTCAGTTCTAGACCCTGTGTGCTGAGCTCAGGATCTAATCCACATGCCCACCTGCCCCGTAGGGGCCTTCGTACTGACAGGTCCACAGTAAATAAAACATGTGCTCATCCCAAGGACAGTGGAAGCTGGATGTAGCCCATCTGAATGGTGCAAAGTGCCCTTGAGGGCTGCTCCCTGGTCACCTCACCTGTACAAGTGCCAGGATTGGCTGTTTCTGGTCCCACGGGAGCAGGCAATGACCTCAGCTCTCTTCCTATAGGTGTCACACCAGCACTGATGTAAGAGGATAGCCGTGTGTGTGTCCCGTGTAGAGTGGTTTAATAGAATGTTTAATAAGGTTCATTGGAAATCATCTCAGGTTAACAAGCAGCTGACCAGGGAAATCTCTTGGTGAAGGAGACAGCTTTACAGTTTTCCATTCTATTTACTTAAAACCATGGGCTAAAGCTTGACATTTCATTATGACAGTGTTGAATCCTCTGAAGATCACTCCTCTGAGGGCTCAGATGGGATAATAACCCAGGGAGAGGCTGTTTGTGGGTTGCTGCTCTATCTCAGCATTTTCCCAGCCTCCATCATGTAGGTGCTGTAGTGGCCCCACCTTCACCTCACTCACGTCTGCAGGATGGAGGAGACGTCCTACACGTCCCTCCTTGTTCCTTTGGTGGGTTTCCAGGAGCCATGAGAACCTACTGTGTCTGCAAAGCTTCCCCAACTCATGCACTGCTCCCCAGACCTCTGTGTGTCTCCCTGGTCCCCTTCTGGTTGACAGCTTTACACCGCTCAGGAATAGGACTTGGTGAAACCACAAGCTGGATCTTTGAAAAGATTAAAAAAAAAAAAAAAAAAAAAAAAAGTGGATGAACCACTAGCCAGACTCATCAGGAAACAACGAGAGGAAACAAAAATAAATAAAATCAGGAATAAAAGCAAAGGTGTAAAAACCGACACACCAGAAATAAAAATATTTCTAATAAAGTACTATGAACAACTGTACACCAACATGCTGGACAATGAGGCTGGAATGGAAGAATTCCTAGCAAAACACAGTACCCCAAAATGAAACAAGGAGAATCAGATAACCTGAATAGGCCAGTAATAACTGAGGAAATAGAAGCAGGAATCTAAAAACTCCCAGCAAACAAAAATTCTGGTTTGGATGCTTTCACAGGGGAGTTTGACCAAACATTAAAGAAGAACCTATATTCCCGAAACTATTAAAAAAAAAATCCTCAGAGGAAAGAACACTTCCGAACTCTTTTATGTGGCCTGCATTACCTAATTCTAAAACCAGATGACACTCATAAGAGAGAAAATTACAGGCCAATATCCCTGATGAACACAGATGAGAAAATTCTCAACTCAATATTAGCAAATTGGATTCAGCAATATTTTAAAAAGATCAGACATCATCACCAACTGGGATTCATCCAGGGATGCAAGGCTGGTATGATATTCACAAATCAATACACCTGATACATCACAGAAACAAATTAAAAAGAAGAATATAATATGACCATATCTATAGATTCAGGAAAAGCATTCAACAATACCCAACACCCACTTTTGATAAATACTCACAGCAAAGTGGAAGAAGAGGGCTCATATCTCAACATACTAAAAGACCTGTATGACAAACCCACAGCCAGAATCATACTCAATGGACAAACACAAAAACCATTTCCCCTACGAAATTGAACAAAGAAAGATCTGCTTTCACCACTCTTATTCAGCATAGTACTGGAAGTTCAAGCCACAGCAATCAGACAAGAAGAAGAAATAAAAGGCATCCAAATTGGAAAGGAGGAAGTAAAACATTTATTATTCATAGGAGACATGATATTGTACCTAGAAAACCCTAAAGACTCCACACAAAAAACACACCTAGATTTAATAAATGAATTCATCAATGTAGCAGGACACAAAATTAACACCCAGAAATTGATGGTACTTTTATACACCAATAATGAATTTTCAGAAAGGGAAATCAGACCAACAATCCCATTTAACTTTGCATCAAAAATATTATGAAATGTAAGAATAAATTTAGCCAAGAAGGTAAAAGACTTTTACTCAGAAAAATACAGGATGTTTAATGAGGAGATAGAGGAAGATATATAAAGTGGAAAATATACTGTGATCATGGATTGGTAGAAATAACATCATTAAAACGTTCATATTACCCAGTGTACTCTACAGATTCAATGTAATCAACTTTGAAATAGCAACATCACATTTCACAGATCTATAGCAAATACTCCAAAATTTTATATGGAACCAAAAAAGACCCCAATTAGCCACAGCAATCTTGAGAAAGAAGAACAAAGGTTGAGAAAACACAATACAAGATATCAAGTTATACTGCAAAGCCATAGGAATCAAAGTAGCCAGGTACTAGCACAAGAACAGGTATATACATCCATGGAACAGAACAGAGAACCCTGAAATCTACCTAAGCCATCACACTCAATTAATATTTGACAAAGGAGACAAGAGCATACAATGGAGTAAAAATAGTTTCTTCAATAAATACTTTTTAGAAAAATTGGACAGATAACCATGCAAATAAATGAAACAATAGACAAATGTATACCATAGACATGAATAAACTAAAATAAGATTAAAAGACTTAAATGTAACTAGGGAGACCATAAAAATCCTAGAAGAAACCTTAGGCAGACATCTCTCATAGCAATGTCTTTCCAGATAAATCTCCCAGGACAAACGAAAATAAGGAGAAAATAAACAAATGGGAATCCATCAGAATAAAAAGTGTCTGCACAGCAAAAGAAACCATTAGCAAAATGAAAAGGAAGTCCACAAAATGGGAGAACCTGTGCGGCAAGGACCCATGTGATATAAAGTGTTAATATCCAAAATATATTAAAAAAAAAACAAAAACCCATACAACTTGCCCAAAGCAAGTCAAACTATCGAATTAAAAAAAAAAAAATTGGCAAAGGACCTAAATACACACTCTCCAGAGGGAAAACAAAAAGTTGGCCAAGAGACATAGGAAAAATGGTAAGAGTCACTGACCCGCAGAGAGATACAAATTAAAAGAACAGGAGGTATCAGCTCAACCTGTCAGAATGGCTACCATCAACAAATCAACAAACGACAAATGCTGGTGAGGGTGTGGAGCAAAGGGAACCCTCCTACTCTGCTGGTGGGAATGCAGGCTGGTGCAGCCACTTGGAACACAGAATGGAGTTTCCTCAAAAATTAAAGATGGAACTGCCATTTGACCCAGTCATCCTACTTTTAGGAATTTAACCAAAGTAACCTGAAAAACCAATCCTAAACAATGTATGCACGCCATATTCATAGAAACACAGTTTGCAATAGCTAAGATCTGGAAACAGTCCTAATGCACATCAGTTGCTGAGTGGATAAAAAGCTGTGGTATATTTATGCCATGGAATACTATGCAGCAGTAAAAGAGAAGGATCTCTTACCCTTTGGGACAGCATGGAGGGACCTGGAGAGTATCATGCTAAGTGAAATAAGCCAGTCAGAGAAAGACAAGTATCACATGGTCTCACTCATATGTGGAACCTAATGAACAAAATAAACTGATGAAGAGAATGAGTCCAGAGACCTGGAAGCATGGAGCAGACTGAAAAAAGTCAGAGGAAATCATGGAAGGATGGGTGGGAAGAAGTCAACCAACAAACTATTATGTACATAGGCTTAATCCAGGGACAGAGTCAACAGGTTGGTGAAGGCCTGGGGCACCCGAGGCTGGCTAGAAGGTGTCAATAGAGGACACAAGGGGACATGAGTAATACCTTCAACAATAAAGGTACAATTTAAAGAAAAAAGAATTAGGACTTAGAGGCTAAAACACCCCCTGAATATGGTTCCCGTGTCTCCATCTACTCTCAGGTGTGGTCAAGACCTCAGCTATGAAATACTCTGCTTCATGAATATGCAAAAGAGAGGAGCCAGACCAGGTTAAATATGGGTGAGTCTGCCCCGAGGGCATCACCCACAGCCACACCAACCCCTCCAGAAGTGCTCCCAGCACAGCCCTCACCATGGACTGCAGCTGGAGAACCCTCCTCCTGGTGGCCATAGCGACAGGTAAAGGGATCCTGTCCTGGTGAAGGAGGGTCCGGGGAGAGTCCAGAAGGATTCCACTGACTCCTGCCTCCTCCCACAGGTGTCCACTCCCAGGTGCAGCTGGTGCAGCCTGGGGCTGAGGTGAGGCAGCCTGGGGCCTCCGTGAAGGTCTCCTGCAAGGCTTCTGGATACACCTTTACCAGCTACTGGATGCACTGGGTGCGACAGGCTCCAGGACAGGGGCTTGAGTGGGTGGGAAGGGTTTACCCTGGAGATGGAGAAACAAAATATGCGCAGAAGTTCCAAGGCAGAGTCTCCATGACCGCAAATGCGTCCATGAGTACAGCCTTCATGTAGCTCAGCAGCCTAAGAACTGAGGACACGGCCCTGTATTATTGTGCAACAGACACAGTGAGGGGAAGTTGGTATGAGCTCAGACACAAACCTCCCTGAGGAGGCAGCAGGGCTTGGTTGCAGGGGTACCCCGTACACCAGGGGGCGCTCAGGATCCACAGCACAGAGAGCAGTCCCAGGAGCAGGAGCAGAGGGAAGGGGAGGGAAGGTCCTTCCTGTTGGGCACAGGGATTTCCTCTCAAACTCTCAGCTGCCTCCAGGGAGGGCTCTTGCTCTTTCTCTGAGGCTCTAATTTCCTACTTTCTCACTGCAGACCCCAGAGAAGGAGGTAACACTGCTGCTGCCAGATGACAGGTGGGAAGTGATGGGGACTCTTCTCACCACATGATACTGTAGATTGAAAACCAAAACACTGGACCAAAAAAACTACTGGATTTTAGAAATGAATTCTGAAATGTACCAGAATATGAATTTAACAGCCGGAACAAATGGTACTTTTATACACCAATAGCGAATTCTCAGAAAGGGAAACCAGACCAACAATCTCATTTACCATTGCATCAAAAAGTTATGATACTTAAGAATAAACTTAACCCAACAGGTAAAAGACTTGTACTGATAAAAAAATATATATATAGGATGCTGAATAAAGAGATAGAGAAAGATATAAACAAGTGAAAAATATACCGTGATCATGGATTGGTAGAATTAACATCATTAAAATGTCCATATTACTCAAAGCACTTTACAGGCTCAATGTAATCCCTGTTAAAATAGCAATAACATAGAACAATTAGGATGGTAGCATAGGTAAACACCTGTGCTTGCTGCCTCTCACAACCACATCAAAACTCCAACTAAAAGAGTAAACAAATATAATCCAGAACCATGGGAAAACTGGTGAGTGGAAGTTCTACAACCAGAAGGAAAGAAAAAAGCACACTGAGACTGGTAGGAGATGCTTAGGTGTGGAAGTACTGAGATTCAGAGGGTGCGCTATTGTGGGTTGTTTTTTGTTTTTTTTTCAATAATGAGGGAGATAAAAGCTCCAGATTGCTCTGACCTCCAGTTCCAGGTGAGACTCTGGGGACCCAGACTCATATGGGGAGAAACTAGACTGTCAGGTATCATGCAGGAAGACGAGGCAGCTTTCTGAGATGCTCCCAGTGATCATTGTTCTTGCAAGATGCTGCCTGACACAGAGACCCAGGAATCTCTCTGTAGCAGCCATTGCTGTTTGCTCCACCCTGGTGATTCCCTGAAAACACGCCCCACCTAATTTATAACCCCACCCAAGCTGTGGGTATCAGCTTTTCATATGAACGGCCTGTTCTTTTACAACCTAAAACCTAACAAACTGTAGCTGGGTCAGAGAGCTCCAAAGCTTCCAAAAGAAGGCCTAAGGCCCAAGGCCTGGCAGTGAACCTGCCTTGCTTTACAGCTGGTCCTCATCTGGGCACTTCCAAACCCCAAACAAAGGAGGAATCTGCACATCCCTCTGTGTTCCTGCTGGGTGGTCTAAGGCAGGGGCTGGCTTTGCACCTCCTTGGAGATCCAAGAGCCAGTGGTCAGTGTGAGAACATGCCAGTAGATAACAACTCTACATATCCATAAGTGACACACTCAAGAAGCAGACTCAGTGAGCACCAAAGCCCCACTGAAACAAGTCCTGCCCCATAAGGGTGTAACTTTTCCCATTGTAGACACAGTGGGTCCTCACAACCAATTGGCCCAGAGGTCAATTCCTCCCAGTGATACCAACAGTAACCAAGGCTTAACTACAACAAGACTGTGCATACAGCCCACAAAAAGGTGTGTACCCAGAGTGTCCACCTCAGATAATTGAGGAGACTGAGCCACTGGGCTCTATAGCACACAAGCTACTCTATCAACACAGGTAAGTAGCCAAAATGCAGAGACAAAGAAACAGGCCACAAATTAAAGAAATGGAAGAAAGCACACTATGGAATATAGAGTTCAGAACCATGGTTATAAGGTTACTCAGATTCTTCTAGAAACCTCTGAAAAATTTAATTGGACCCTCTAAGATATGAAAAGGACCAATCAGAAATTAAGCATACACTGCCTGAAATAAATAATATACAGAGATCCAATAGCAGACTAGAGGATCCCAAGAATCAAGTCAAAGATTTGAAATATGAAGAAGCAAAAAATATCCAACCAGAAAAGAAAAAAGGAAAAAGAACCCAAAAATATGAAGATAGTGTAAGGAGCCTCTGGGACAACTTCTAGCATACCAACATCCAAATTATGGGGGTGCTAGAAGAAGAAAGAGAGCAAGATATTGAAAACCTATTTGAGCCGAGACCGATTTGGCTCAATGGATAGAGTGTCGGCTTGGGGACTGAAGGGTCCCGGGTTCGATTCTGGTCAAGGGCATGTACCTTGGTTGCGGGCATATCCCCAGTAGGGGGTTGCAAGAGGCAGCTGATCGATGACTCTCTCTCATCGATGTTTCTCTCTATCTCTTCCTCTCTGTACAAAATCAATAAAATATATTTTAAAAAAAACCTATTTGAAGAAATAATAACAGAAAATTGCTTTTACCTGGTGAAATAAATAGACTTAC